ACTCTTCCAACAATGACAGATTCGATCAAGAACTAAGTTTTGTTGTTGTTTTCTTAGTCAAACTACACAATAGAGAATGAACCTTGGATTTTAGCATTGTAAGTCCGTAAACATACTGTTGACCCACCGGGGAGGCTATAATAAAGGGAATATTCTATATTTGATCATTTGACTGGGTTTCTTTAAGTATAAATAATAGGTTTTTTGGTGTGTTTTTATTTTGGGCAAACCTACACATAGGCTGTCTGCACTAGCCGTCCCTAATTTAGCAATGAAAGACTACAGGGGTAGCAGCATGTCATCACTACTCACCGCCAACTCTTGGGATACTCTTTTACCAAGGAATAGTGGGATTAACCGTCACATTATAAAGTCCCCATGACTGAGAGGGCTAGCCTGTTTGGTGAGACAGGGATTCAAACCCGCGACCCGCAGATGGCGAGTCGAGCACCCTAATCACCTGGCCATGCCAGGCCGGTAAATAATAGAACTGGACAAATATGGAAATGACCAAACTCTTTATTATGACAAACGAACAGAAAGCATATTGTGCATGCTTGCACAGATGGAATCAAAGTCGATCTCCCAGTAGAAATGACCCAAACCAGAAGATATTACAATAACGATATATCATCCAGTTTGAAAGGATTAGACCTGCAATATTTCTTGCTAGCCGAGTTAACATTGTCTGAACGACACAGGCGACCAGTATTGTCAGATAACAACTGCCACGAGATGACAATGTTGACTGGACAAAGAAAGCCAGTTTACCTGTTGAATTCAGGCGCTTTTAAGCAGAAGAGACATTATCTATTAAATACAGCAAATAAACAAAGCAAGTAGAACAAACCAATCTTAACGACTTTCTGTATAACGTGTTGCCACCATTACAGTATAGAGACTAAATAACCATTTATTTTTTATTAAATCGTATATTGTTTGTTTGTAATTAAGCACAAAGCTATACAATGGGCTATCTGTCCTCTGCCCACCACGGGTATCGAAACCCGGATTCTAGCGTTGTAAGTGCGCAGACATCCCGCTGTGCCACTGGGGGGCAAATCCTATACAACTAAAACAGGTAGAAAACATATTATATCCCTGCATATCCCATTTTCCTTCCCTTCTCTGTTTCAGGTTTGTGTTCAAGCGAACAATTAAATACCAGGTAGTAAAAAGTCAAAAACATTTCGTAGATTGAGACAAAATTTTGCTGTTTATATGAGTTCCCAAATCCACTCAGCATTGCTTTAAAACAAAACCACTTTTTGTATGTGATCGCTCATCTAATCAATTTTTAGTATTTGCTACGAAAACCATATTTAAGTTTAAAGAAAAACCTTGACATTTGATAAGGAAATGGATATGCTTATTATTCGTTTAAACGTTTGAAATATTTATTTACATAGCATATTTTTACGATTTCACGACGATTATTCAATATTTTCGAACCGAGTGAGATTTTATGCAATATACAGGCTAAACGGTCAGGTTATAGGTTCAACCATACTTATTTACTTAGTACAGCATAACGCCAGTGTTACTTTGTTCGTAATTAAGCACAAAGCTACACAATGGGCTATCTGTGCTATGCCCACCACGAGTATCGAAACCCGGATTCTAGCGATGTAAGTCTGCAGACATACCGCTATGCCACTGGGGGGCACCAGTGTTACTACGGGTGATACTTCCGTACCATTTTGATAATTTTGGTACGATGGTAAGCAGATAAGGTTTTAGATACTTTTTTTATACGAAAAGAAAACAGCTGATTGAGATGTGACAACTATATATATTTTAAACAATAGACACTTTAATTAAAATTTCATTTAAACTATGTTAATTGAATATTACATCCATATTTAACTTTGTAGAGTTAAATAATTTTTATATTATTTTATATTATATAAGCGTAGGTAATAGCGCGTTAATTAATTATTATTAAGTAATTGATCTGTTGTATTGGTAGCTTTGTTAGTTATCATTCCAAACGTAATATGAAACGTTAAATTACGTTAACCCTGGCTGCAAGCAATTTTGTTTTTATTAATTTTTTTATATATTTAAGTTACTATCTGTCCTCTCAATATCATTATCTGTCATCTATTTGCTATAATTTTTCAAGAATGTAACTCCTTTAATGGTTAGAGAAAAAATCGTGAGAGTACTTAATTTATAAATGAAATAATTTATTATTTTGGAAAATATATGAAATTATGCCCGAGTTTCTAACCGGTTATCAATAACAAGAGTGCGAAGATATATTTTTTATTACTATATACTATGTCAGTGAAATAACCTTTAGTTTACTGGTATGTTTCCAGCAGTTGATACCAATTATACTGTGAATTATGTTGTTACTTTAGGTTTGGCTTCTGTTTTAATACATTAGCCCAGTGTTTCTCAACCACCTCTCCGTCATAACCACATTACTAGACCGTAGGATTTTACAAAAACAAACAAATAAAAAAACTGGCAAAATATTCATACGTAAATCGTAATACTTTTTCGTTTCCCTTGCATTTTAGTGGTCCACAACAATTTAAGGAAGCAGCGAGACGGTCCTTGGTATCGACACGTTGAGAAACACGCTATTGTATTATAATATATAAACATTAGGCAGGGTGCCAAAAAGCAAATATTTTGCTATCTTCCAACAACTGAAAAATCAGATCGATTCCAAATTTGAAAATCTATTTTCAAACTCAGGTTCAGTTTTTAATTAAATTAGGCCATATTTAGACTTGTAATATTGTAATATTTTGAAATGTTTATCACTAATTGTTTATCTCATAATTAAATCATTTAATTTAATCACAATTCAAGTCAGTAACTAAAGAAGTATGCTCAGTAGGAAAATAAAAATTGCTCTGTCAAAGTCCAACAACCCAACTTGTTTTTTAACCGCGGCGTAGCGGCTCATAGAATGGCTCTGAGTTTGTTCTGTTTCTTCAAGTACAAACTTTTAGCTCATAGCTCCGTCATCTCTTGACCGATTTGAGATCTAGTTACAGTATTGGACTCAGGATGTCAAACCCTTTCGATTGATGTATTTGACCACGCCCAAGGTCTCTTAAATTAATTTACTCTAATCCTGCCTAAAATAATTTCAGTTTGAGAATAGGCTGGTAGAGATCCTGATGAGTAATAAAATCGAGTCGATTATGCGTGCGCCCCACTCTTGGTATTGCTGGCGCACAAAAATAAATTAATTTACTCTAATCTTTCCTAAAAGAATTTTAAATGCCGCGGCTATTGAAGATTCCCTCTTGTTTTTCAAGTACAAACTTTTAGTTCATAACTCCATCTCTTGGCCGATTTGTGATCTAATTACAGCCGCGGATATTGAGGATTCTTTCTTGTTTTGTATTGGTACCCTGGCTATAGGTTAATCCTCATGAGGTAGTCCAGAGATCTGTCATGGAGCACTAATTAAATTTATCTAGACCTTAAACAGTTAGCTCTACCATATGCCATTTCATGATATATTTTTACTATTACGATTACATTATGCATTTTAAAAGCAAAATGGATTCATAGATAGGCCAATACGGTATTCTGAAAAGGTAACAAAAAGTACCAAAAGTATGAAAAAAATACCATTAACCTTAAATTACATATTCGGTTGCTTCTTGCTTCTATCAAGTTGTATCTTAGCTTTCTGATTAATAAACTTGCAGTATATTCTTATTTAAAAACTAATTATTTTCATTACGTTCCTTGTGTATTTCATTAATGCTTATAAATGATATCACATATGGTAATATACGCAGTATTTAACACTACATCATATTCTATTATAGAGCCCCCTTTGAGAATAGTTTTGATGAGTCTTTTAAGCTTAAGTTGAGTTGAGTGTCTGTGGTAAACATGCACCTCATGTGGAGCATAGGCCATCCACGGCTCTTCTCCACCTAACATAGCTATCCCTAATTTAGATCAGCTGACCAGAAGAAGTGCAATCAGTCATCAGTGATCAAGCTGGCCTTGGCAGCACTCGCTGTCTGTACAGGTACTTTCAACCGATTAAGTCATAGGCCACACCCGACTCAAATTCAGGATAGAAAACATTGCTCTGTCAAGTGAATTGTAACATTACAATGTGAAATGATACTGTGCGTCACAAGAAGCAAAAAAGAAACACACACACACACGATATGAACTAAAACATAGATCTTATACTGAAAATGCCCCTCAGTAGCACAGTGGTATGTCTGCAGACTTACAACGCTTGAATCCGGGTTTCGATACCCGGATTGGTCGGCATAGTACAGATAGCCCATTGTGTAGCTTTGTGTTTAATTAAAAACAACCAAACATGCTGAAAATTGTTTTTATTTTGAAGAACGTGTTTCCTAAGCTTTAGAAAACACATTAAGCAAATTAAAAACAATACTGTATGTAGCGTATTTCTTATATTCATATAAAGTTAATGTCAAGAACGGCTGTCTTGTTATGTAATACGGTCGTTTTCGGTTATTACTATTGGTTTAATTTAGCATTTATTCTGTTTATTTAATATGAAATAATATTTAAACTGTTTCCATTTATAACAACAAATTTCTTGATAAAAAATTTTCTAATACAATATACTTGAGGTTTCTATCCAGCCTTTCAAATGTTCATACTCATAAAGTGAGAGACGTGGTTGAAAATAAAGGAAATATTGTTAGATTTATTTTCGATGGTTCCGTATATCTTTACGCTCTGTACTTTTCAGCACATCTAATAATAATAATAACCAGACTCCCTGTCAACTATACTTTTTTGCGCACTATTTCCTGATAAGTTGATTCTATTAAATTTCATTTAAATGAAATCATACAACTTGTGTCTTCATTTTCATTGATTATTTTAATTTGTTTGAATTTTAGAATAAAAACTATCTTATGTCGAAGTATAAGCAGAATGAAGAATTTCATTACGTTGCGAAATATGTTCAACTTTGGAGAAAGCGTCATCTACCGTTCAAATTCTCGGTGTGTTGGTAGAGCATCCAACAGACGCTGAGGTAGTTACTGCGTGAAAGCAGTCGGTTGCACTAGATCGATCGTCTGATTGCTGTAAAGATGGCAGAGAAAAACATAGAGTATTTCAAATCACCGGAAGAGAAAACTAAATTGGAAGCTGCAAGAGAATTCATCTGGAACCCCAGAACCCGACAGTTTTGTGGAAGAACAGGAAGTAGTTGGGGTAAGATTTATAATTGAATTGTTTCTATTTTATTTAGTGTAACATGGCTGTGTTTCATTATCGGAAAATGCCTTTAAGTTTAAACTTGCTAGGAGGTGAAGTCTGAGAATAGACTGGGCTAACTTGTAGTAGAAGGCCTGCTTACTATTGGCTGTCGGTTACGAAGGGCTCCGGCGCCACACCAAGCCTTGAGGCACCTGAGACTGAATAGGCTGAAATGGTGTCCTAAAATCGCATAATCTTAGCTGCAGGAAGGAGGTAATTATATGATGAGTGTTAGAGCTTGCTTCCTTTAATTCAATATGTTACATTGTGTGTATGTAGTATTTGTAGTTAAAATGGCTAAAGATTCAAGACTCATACCATTAATTTTTTTAAAAAATTCTAAAGGCATTCCCGAGAACCCAATAGAAATGGCATGTATTGCATGCCGTTAGTGGACTTTATACACACAGTGTTTCACATAATTTAGTTTGGCAATATCCTGATCACTCCAAAATTGCTTCCTACAGGAATGATTATGATTAACAACATCTAAGTTGTTACTATAACAATTAGTACTACTTGTACCATCAATACTAATAATGAACATATGATGGCTTATTTATTATTATTATTATGATAACAAACATAGCAGGACTACAGTTTACTGTTTAGTGACTTCTCTTCAAACTAAGTTGTAGCTATACATGCCATGAAAAAGTGGTTAGGCCATGGCCTAACTGGCCTTACTGCTTCCTATGGCCACAATAATGTTAGTTTAAAAATAAATAATACTTATATTGATAGACATAGCTGCTCTGGAAATAGGTTTATATGGCATAATTTAGCCTTACACATTAATTAGCACATAATAGTATAAGTGTAGTCGGGTAGCCCTGAGTAGAACATTTTAAAATGCATTGCATAAAAGACTGTAGTATTAATACTGTAACTATAGTAAGATTTACTTGATCCAGTTTTCACTTATATGTATGATTTTTCTTTAAATCGTGCAGTGAAGACTGGAATTTAATTAGCACACATTGTAGTTTTTGTGAAAATCAAAGAATACCATTGTAATATATGTATTTTTTAAGGAATCAAATATTTTATAAGAATAAATAGAATTTACTGGGCATATGTTAGTTCACTTTCACTTCAGTGAGAAACATCCTACTTAAAGTTTTTAATTACAATAAGTTTAATACTTCAGTTGTATAAAAAAAAAGCATTAGAGGTAACACTCCAAGTATTTTAGTTACTGAAGTTATGTTTGTGTTAATTAAGATATTTATTAAGAGTTAGATACACTGCATACAACTTGTCAATTTTGGATTCAAAATGAGTCATGAAAAAAACACTTCAGATCTGTAGTTTAGACTATTTTTCATAAATTTTAGGCCTGTTGCTTTCTAATTTTTCACCAGCTTTCAGCATTTAAACCATAACTTTTAATAGTATTATACTAGACATGTAAATAGCTTTTCAGAGAATCTTTTGTCTTTCACTTTCCAGACCAGCTGACAAGTTCTGATATATTGAATGAAAGGCCTCTTTGTAGTAACTTGTGAGAGATTAAAGATAGACCCCAGACCAGCTGACAAGTTCTGGTATATTGAATGAAAGGCCTCTTTGTAGTAACTTGTGAGAGATTAAAGATAGACCCCAGACCAGCTGACAAGTTCTGGTATATTGAATGAATGGCCTCTTTGTAGTAACTTGTGAGAGATTAAAGATAGACCCCAGACCAGCTGACAAGTTCTGGTATATTGAATGAAAGGCCTCTTTGTAGTAACTTGTGAGAGATTAAAGATAGACCCCAGACCAGCTGACAAGTTCTGGTATATTGAATGAATGGCCTCTTTGTAGTAACTTGTGAGAGATTAAAGATAGACCTGAAATGCTATTTTTATATACCTCTGGCTTTGATTTCAAATGGACAAATTAAGAGGAAGTGACAGCAGAGCTGCAGTTCACATGATTTGTATCACATATTTTTGGCCTATAGTTTCTAATGCTTTACCAGTTTACAGCATTTAAACTGTAACTCTTAACTTTACATTTTGAAAGCTTTCTAGAAATCTGATGTACTTTGGATAGTCAATAAATATTTTCAATTAAATCTTCTGTAATCTGTTTGCTTTTTAGTGTTATTTTCTGTTACAAAGTAACAAAGTTGCATACTAGTATCCTGTAAAGTGAGCCCCCCAGTGGCTTAGTGGTAAGTCTGATGGATTATAATGCTAAAAACCTGGGTTTTGATACCCATGGTGGGCACAGTACAGATAGCCCATTGGGTAGCTTTGTGCTAAACAACAAACCCATAAAGTGAAAAATTGGTATAAAATTAAACAGTGAGGAAAGACAATATTTTTAGCAGATTGACTTTAAAGGGTATTTGAGTACATTTTTAAATTCATAATTTGTTATGATAATTTTGATGTACATGAATTTAAGAAATTATTTCAATATTTAAAAATCCATTGCAAACAATTCTTTGAAGTTTCATAAAACTCTCACGGAGAGAGCTTGTACTGTATATTTTTAATAATTAAAGTGGGAGAATAGAAAGTGTATGTGTAGTCTTCATAATAAGTATGGAGAATGTATACAAGAGAACCAGAAATCTCAGCCAGTTTCTGCAGTTTATCTCTATGAATTATTCATAACTTACAACCAGTCTTCCTGTACATGTTTTAATGTTTTTTTTCCATGATTGTTTTGCAGATCTAAATATGCAGCACAAACTCAGTTTGTGTTATCAGTATCTTGTTTTAATATTAAAGTCAATGTAGAATTTTCAGAGGAATTGGTAAAGCTAGTTTTTTTAGACAAGTAATTAGTTACCTAGTGCATTTTAAGAACACTGTGATGCGTGTTGTATTTTTTATATCATTTTCGGTGTTTAATGTATTTTTCATACACACTTTTTTAGACTTAAGATTTGTTTTCAATGATTCTGATAATAAACATCCAGTTTAATAATTCAGTGTTTATTCTCATTTTTAGGAAAATATGAAATATAACACTTTCCCAGTATAAAGGTAAATTTCAGTTTGTTTTTGAGTTGCCAATAGCAACTTCAAACATGCACACATGTGATACTTTCATTTGGATTGGATTGATAATGCATTAAAGGTGGTTAAAAAAAAAGGGGGGGGATGCGGATTCTAGATGGCAAGCTGTTGTTATTGATTCAGAATCTATGCTAGCTTACGAAGTTTTAAAATTTTTTTCACTGGTTTCTCTCTTACCATTAGCCCAGTAATGGCAATTATTTGCTACATCGTTATATTCCAAGGTTTTAAAATGGCGTATCAGACAGACACGTTTAGCGAAACTTAAAAAAATGACTTATTCGTGATAAATGATTAATACCATGCAAGGTTTTTTCTCCCGTAGACATCTTTGCGGAAAACTAACTATATCGTTTCATTTCAGGTCACTGTAATTTGTGTAAGGAATAACTTCACGCTTTTTATAGTGAATTGTATAAATACGCTCAGAATTAAGTTTTTGGCTATTATGGAATTAGTTTAAGTGTAAAAAATAATTCTAAGACCGATATCTTTGTATTATGAGCGCTTTTGTATTTGAGTTGTTTGATTATTACGAAAACGGCATTATTTAGGACGCCTTACGCGTATATGTGACGTAGAAGATTACGTAATATTGCCTCACACCATAAGCTCTTAGATTCACCAAAGTTGTATGCAAGGCATTGGCCGCAGTGCTGTCGTAATGATATTGCTAGTAAAGGTTAGCTTTAAAAAATATAAAGTAGAGCCAAAGAAACTGGCATAAGATAGAGTAATATATGTATCTATAGGTATATAATGTGGTGGCGTAATTATTTCTTTGCAGGCTTTTTTTCTTCCGTGCATATCAACTTTAAACTATTAAAGTATTTATTATTCCATTTTTCGCAAAGAATTGTGCGGCCAACTGCACGTGTTTTTTTTATATCTAGACAAGTTTAATCTTCCAAATAAAAATGATGAGAAGTGGATTAAATTATTTGGAGTAGTAGTAGTAATAATAATAATGTGTGTGTGTGTATGTCTAATTTTTTATTTCTTTTGGATGTTATGATATATGAGTACATCGCAAATTGTATGTATCCCGTATCTAATATTTACGTATTTTATGCAATGACAAAAAATAATAATACGAAACCACGTACTGGAATTGCTAATACAGTCCACAAATGCCTGTTTATTAACTAGGCTGAATTTGTCACGTGTTAAGGAAATTGTCTGTCGAGTTTATCTCCTAACCGCTGATCCCCTAATATGTTTTTCAAGCCTGCGGAAACAGTCAGTGACGACGCGAAGGGAGTCGGTCGAGGGGGGCAATTGCCACCGACGCCAAGTAAAGGAGGCGTCGTCTGGGGCTGGTCACCGAAGATAGGGGCGCCGAAAAAAGGAAAAAGAGCATTGTTCCCGGGCGCAACGAATCTTCGCGCCGCCAATGGAAACAGTGAATGTAAAATTCCTTCTGAATAAATACTCATGTTCTTAAAATTCTAAATTTTGTCAAATTTTTTTCTTACAATCCCCAAGATAACATCTACATTCAGTGTACTTCGCACCTGTAAACCAGATACTGTAATGGGAGAAGTATGGGCTTATAATAATGTTTACTGCCTTTAAGGTGTTTACAGAGATTATGTCGCTCTCTGGAGTGAGAAAATTTTGTGAACCATTGTTCAAGTATACGCACCATGGACAGTATAATTTCACGCACCCCATATCGACCTCTGAAGTGTTTTCTGCGAAGCATCACTTGTGTTTCAATACAAAAGGGTTTTTATCTAAACCAAATCGCAAGCTTGATTTCCATACTTTTGGCTGTACGAAAGAAAGCAGGAAAAATAAAAACAGAAGTGTACACTGAGTCAAACTATCTTAATAACAAAGTGCAGTCATTTTTACATCTTGAAGCATATTTCTGATTTGTTTTCAGATATGTTATTTCATTTTTAAATGTTTAGTCTTTAAATTTCACTAACTAAACTT